ACTCTTTTCCATATTATTCGATATCTGCTTATTACATGCTCGGTTTTCTAAAAGATTTCTCCCCTGCACCACCAGACCAAACCGACAATGGCTCTATCGTGATGGCCCGAAAGTTGTTATGCCGAAGGCTGCAGTGAGCAATTGTATCATACATTATATAATATGCAGATGGAGCACTTGGGTGTTAACATCCGATTTTATGGGAATTAATAAGAATTTGGAGTCAAATTTATGGTGCTCAATAGCTTGGGTATTGACTATCATCCAAATTTAACTCTTTGAAATATAAACAGTCCAACCTAGGTTACTTCGGCTTATAAATTTATCTTATTTGATTCTTCAATTATATTTAAAATTATATTATTTTTTGAGATTTTTCAAAAAAAAATTAAAAACATTAAAATTATTTTAAAATTATAAATTTGTAAAAAATCTTTTACATTTTGTATAAATTATAAAATTATCTTACTTGATTCTTCAATTTTATTTTAAATTATAAATTTAATTCATAAAGCCAATGAAAACCCTAATAGGATATTGTATAAATTGAGGCTCGAAATGAGTCCAAAATGATTCACATGCACTTGATAATTGTAACGATCATTTTTCTATTTTGATAATTGAATTATTTTCTTTTAAATAATATTATTAATATTTTATCTTTTTATTTCGGTCATTGCTCTTAAAATTTAACCAATATCATCATCAAAATTGATAAGGAGAGAAAAAATAATATGAATAAAAATTTTATATTATCATTGTTGTTCTTTTTTAATGGCCGTTAATCAAAATTAAAAAAATTAACGTAAGTAAAGATTTTGTTAAAAAAATAATTTGGTGATCAAAATAAAAAATAATATTAAATTGATGACTAATGATAGAGTTTACCCAATTTAAGTTCAGAAAAAATCAAGCAACATGAACTTTTCTGAGATAAATCTGTTATTTTTCTAGTCGAATTTTAATTTCTCGAGTTAGAGTCGAGCTTAAGAACTTTAAACTTTCGAATTTTCAAGTCTAATTCAGCTTTAAACTTTTCGAATCGATTTCAGCAATATTCGAACTCGATTTGGGTCGTTTATAGTACGATAGTCAAGCACTGATACAATAGCAGTCCATGGTAGTTTTTTTTCTTCCAATAAATATACTCCTGAAGGTGCTATTGTTTACATTTACACTTGAAATTTGGGAGACTAATAATTCATTTGTGTGTTCCTAAACACCTTATCACTAAGTTCCTCTTTTCTCTTAATTTGGTATATATCTTTAAGCATCTTTGTGGGAATGAGTAGAGAAGAGAATGCATAGGAATGAAAATGACACGTATTACGGGCTGAATCTATGTTAGTAAAGGCTGTTTGTGGTGGTAACATTTGGGTTAGGGGTGGTTATAGGCGGTTTATCTCTTTTGATTTGGGTTGTGATTGAAAATTTTCAAGTTTTACTCGATCTTAAAAATATTTGATCTCAAAACATTTTCGGATTTAGCTTGATTGAACTTCAAACTCAAGCTCGGTTCAAGTACAAACTCGAGTTCAAACATTAAACTTAAGTACATGAAAACCTTGTATTTTATTTAGAAGGAAAACAACAAAAATGTTGACATTAATAATAATTTGAATTAAAAATAAAAAAAATCAATAATCATTTTTTCAAATTACTTGCTTGCTTTTCGAATCAGGTATCAAGTAGTTTGCTTTAGCTTGTTAAGAGTTCTAGTCTATTCGATTTGAGTATTGACTGAACTTTAACCGAATCGAACTCGAATAGCTAACAATTTGTCTCTCTCATTAACTGCCCTAATTTCAACTAAACCCATTGCTTCTCGAAAGCTTTACATTTTCACTAGAGGGTCCCTCTGCGATCCCTTAGACCCCATTAAACTTACAGTCTTGTGTTAAAACCCCTTTTTAAATGTTTCAAAAGTAACCCGCCTTTAAGGGATTCAGGTGTTTAAATTTTGTGTCATTTTACTCTCCACAAATGATCCAAATTCCGGACAGTGGTTCTATGTTGACATTCCTGTAATTGCTGAAGGCTGAATTTTTCTACCTTTGTTAAGCATAAATCGAATACAATTATACACACATGTAAATGACCTTGTCTTAGGGAAAAATTCTTGAATTCTCAACTTGTATAGCATGTTGAATCCTATATTTTTGAGGGTTGCATTTTATGCCATACAACTATTTTTGATAGAACTTTGTCATAACATTTCCTTTGTTGATTACTTTTTATTGTTTGAGGACAAGTAATAACTCAAGTTTGGGGTGTGTTAACCCCATAAAAAAGGGTATATTTCATACCTTATTACTTGAGTTACTTATTGTTTTAAAACCCATTTAGTTGCATATAGTTGCATGTGGTAGTGTTTGCTTGTTTTATTTTATTTATTTATGAAATTGGTGATGATTTGAGAAAAAAAGGTTTGTTTTGGTGAGGTGATGTGTAGGTAATTTAAGGAGAATTGCTGGAGGATCGAGCTTATGTTGCTGTATTTTAGACGATATTTCAGGGTGCATTAGAAGACAAAAGCTGAAGATATTTTGCAACCCACTTGTGACACCCTACCAACTATGCCCTACACGTGAAGGGAATCTTTTTTCCTATAGGATAAAGAATTAAGGACACAAAATCCTAGGAGCCCCCACTATATAAAGCTAAGGGCACCCCAATTATTAAGGAGAATAGAATATGTGAGATAAGAAAGGGAAAAATGAGAGGTGGTCACTCGTCATCGTGGTGACCTCCATTTTTGGAGCTTCAAGGGATAAGCTTGTTGGCCTTGAGAGAAGCAGCAATGCTTGGGGTAGTTCACGGTAGCTCACAGCTTGAGAGTTTTCTTCCACCTTTAGTTGCTCTTTATTTCTTCATCTTTTCTGTTATGGGTTGTATTAAACGAATGATTATGGATGCTATTTACCAACCATGAACTAACTTAGCTTGGTTTGGGTTTATCTTGAATGATTATGTTTTGTTTTAATGAATGATGAAGCATTTCTAATTTATACACATGTTTTGTTCACTGTTTTATTATTTAGATTTGTAAGAGCTTTCGAGAGATATCATTTATCTAATGTTGATGCTTAATATCAAGAAAGTTAAGCATAAATCTATGTGGACAATAGGGTTGAGATGGGAAGCAAAACCCTAACTCGCCTTAGAGATAAGGACAAAGTTTCAACGACTAAAAAGAGTAGGACTTAAGGGATAATATCTTGCTAGGGTTCACGCTAATAGGTATTGTTTTAGCATTTTGACTGTCAGGTTTCTTACTAGAGATAACCTAAAAATAACTTAGAAAACTCTACTGAGCATCGTATTAATTACAAATTGTTAAACATTCATTAAGGTCAAGACATAGTATTCCAAGATAAACCTAGTCTTTTAGCTTTCTTGAAAGTTTCACACGTGTGAGGTCGTGCCGTTGTCTTATCTTGTACACCCATTTCTCAACACTAATTTTGCTACATCATTACTTTACCTTTTTGTTACAACATTTTACGCACTTCAATATTTTTCCACACATCCACATCACCTTATTCATACCATTATATACATTAATTGTTTATAGTTTAAGTGCACATTATTTACTTGATTTACAATAAGACATCTTATTGCTGAAAAGGTGAATGGTGGAACAATAAGACTAAACTATGTCTCTTCAAAAAAATCAGCTAGCAGATGTCTTGACCAAAGCACTTCCAAGGGTCACTTTCGATGAAATCACATCCAAGTTGGGTCTTTATAATATTTACTCACCAACTTGAGGGGGAGTGTGAGTTATATTACAGTTATTACTTTGTAAATATTAGTGTTTCATCATAACACTAACTCTAGCAACCTATTTTTTAAATAAAAATAATTTTAGATTAGTTAGAACTCTTGACTTAGATAGAACTCTGTTTTATTTGTAACTAGGATTTCTTAAACTACACCTATAAAAACAGTCTTGTACCATTATGATTTTTCAATGTGAATTGAAGTAAATTCATAGTATTTTTTCTAGTAAATTATATTTTCTACAAAAAAAAAATATTGTGTATTCAAGATTCGGCATATCTGAAATATGTATCTTTACCAAAAATTCACTTCAATAAAATGTCTTATGATGGGACATGATGATTCATATATCCTTCTACATTCATCTGTTGAGATGTGTATATGGGTGCATGATGTATTGTGGCAAGGAAGCATGCACGTGATAGTATTATTTAGGTTTCTGTATGCCTGTCACTACACCTTTTGTTTTGAGCACATTCTTGCTATTGCTGGCTTTTTCTGAACTAAATCATGGTGTCACCTCAGCAGCTTATTAGTGAAAAGACAATAAAATAACAGATTTATCTCAGAATTTTGAAGCTAATTCTTCTTCCTACAATCATACCCCTTACCTGGCATCTATCTCCTTTTTCTGCAGGTATTCTTTGTCTGCTGCAGTTACATTTATGGCTTTCAAGAGGCTTAAACCAAAAAATAGTATGAGATAGCAAGCATTATTCTAAGAGGTATAATTTATTCCTATGATAATTGTTCTGAAGTGCACTCAAGCATATTGATTGTAACATATCCTTAACCCCGAGTGACCTATGTATCGAAACAATAAATTGTTTATTACATTTTTTTTACTAGGTTTGCATTGCGGGACCTTGGACAAGCTAATAGCACCGGATCTTCGAGAGATTTTGCTGATTGCGAAACGGCCGGAGTCGTACAAAATGTAGCTAGAAAGGCTATTCCAATGGCACCTCCTGGTTTTTGATCAATGGAAAGAAACAGATGAGTTTTGCTATATTTGTTTGCTTTAACAAAATTGAAATAGAAAAACCCTTAAAAGTTTGATATTTTTCAAGTCTAGAAAGCAAGGAAAAGAGGAGAGGAAGAGGGAAGGTTGATTAATGCTTGTGATGCAGTAGAGCTTATTTTTGTGCTTTCAACTGTGTTTTGAGGTTCTTCAACATTGAGAATGTGTTTGTTTATAGCATGCAAAAGAAACTTACTGGATCATGTATGTATCTCCTTTTCACTAATCATACATGTCACATTTACAGTGATGCTGCAATGGGACATACTTGCTTGGTAACGAAAATATACAAGTCCACACATTATCCAGCCTATCAAAATTTAATAGTGGATACTAGAGTGTAAAGAGCTTCAGCTTCAGTTAACCTGCTCTCCTCTTGCTTGCTGTCGCTTCTCTTCTTCAACTTGTTCAAGCAATGCTACCAGCTCTGCTTCTGTCAAACCTTCTAACCGTTTCTGCATAAAGGGAAAAAATCATATTTCTGACATACATTACTTGCTGATTGGTATATGATTAGGAAATGATCCAACGTCTCTTTTTTTCGTCTTTGGATAACATCGACTATCTTACAGGTTGGTGGCAAATGCTGAACCCCTCTCATATTATATCTCAATCAAGGTTCTTAGGTGACTGGTGATCCTACTAGTTTTGTAGCTGTGATGTGGAAACAGGATCCAAGAAAGCTCTCAAACCGATTATGCATGAACCCTAGTTTGAGACATTTTACATGCAATTTCACGTCATCGGCTTTAAACAGACGCATTCTTCTTTTAACATTCTAAGGCAATCACACAGAAACTATTCTAGAGTGAATGAATTTTACCATGTGGTCGTATTTTTGGTTTTACCATGTTAAAAAAGCTACATATTTCAACAACACGATAAAGAAAGGGTATAATACCAAAACAATATTTTAATATTTGATTAAATAACCACTTTGACTCTTATTCTATCTCTTTTTTTTTAGTACTTTAGTCCTAGCGTTCCATTTTGAGGCAAAATGTCCATTGAAACCATTAGTTGACTAATAGTCAACACTTTTGATGATGTGATAAGTCTTATGTGCCTAACATGCTTACATGACAAATGTCATGTGTCCAAAGCGTTGGCATGACACATGTTCAAAGTGATTATGTGTCATCACGTGGCATTGTCATATCATCACTTCAGACATAGAAAACTTCCCGTCAACAACAAACTATGACCATTATCAATTAACGATTTTCATCCAAACGAGAGCATTTTATCTCAAATGAAATGTCTGGACCAAAATGTTTAAAAAAGAATATATACCAAAGTGATTATTTTGTCAAGCCTTGAGGATAAATTTTGACATTATATCTAAAGAAAAATATCTTCTTTGTTGCATATTAGGGGCAAAGGGGTGTGGCAAACAATAGTGCACCAATTTGGAAGATATAACTAAAAATTGGAAGGAGAAAAGTGAAGAAACAAAAACCTCCATGACTTTGACTTCATAGTCACGTAATTGTTGAGCGTACGTCATTTCCTTGTTCGATACTCTAAAGATGTATGTTGAAATCCATCCAACTGTGAGACCCAAAACCATTACCAACTGAACTACATTTCCTGCCTGTAAAGGATCAACTCCCACAAACTGCATCACCATCATCATGAGGTCAAGAAGATTCTTACTTGAAAGAAATTGTTCATCGATGCATACTCATAATTCGCAAGGTATCGAGCTGCTGCTACCAAGAATATAGAATAAAAGCAATCAAGCATGTAAAGGGAAAAAAAGATAGCCAAAGTTGTTGGCAAAATACCTCCAATCCACTTTTCAAACCAAATCCAATGGCAGTGACTCCAAGACCAATCAATAGAACATCCTTTCTTGTGTACCCGAACGGTGTCTGAGCAAGAACAAGCAAGATATTACTTCAGTAACGATGTCGACAAGATCAACCCATGATGAAAGTCGAGTGTGTACTTATGGAACTGCCAATTAGATTTCATTCGGCAAGAATATGTATTATGAAGAATCTAGAGGTAAATTACGCATGCATAATACAGAAAACGATATCTATATCAGCTCCTTCATCAGCAATACGAAGCGCATGCCTTAGTTTGATCTTTACTATCATTGGAGTCTGTGGAACTGCTACATCTGGGAGCAATGGCGACCAGTTTCTTTGACCTTGTGTTGTTCAACTCATTTTGCAGAAAGAGAGATGCTTCTCTTTTATACAAGATCTGAGGCACAGCAGTACCTAAGCAATGTAACCAAAAATAACTGCAATCAGATACAACATTATAAGGTGTTCTTTGTCTTTTATATTTATACCAAAGAATTTTCATCGACTTTGAAAAAGACTCTAGAAAATAAAGGGAACTTCTTGTGTACCTCAAAAATGATCACCACTAAAATGATTCCTATTGTTTTACCAAATGTTTCATATGGAAAAGAAAAAAAATGAACAAATTAAGTTTTCTTCAAGCCATAATAGTATTGGCAATATATATATATAATTTCTCCTTTTTTTCACTTTTCTCCATTTTTTTCATCTTGCGTATCTTCATTCCACCCTATCAAATCAAGCTCAATGGATTCTCAATCATTAGTTGAGTCCAAAAAATTCAAAACAAATGACTTAACATATCATTAACTAACAGGACCATAATTCACCACTCTCAAGCTTACTGAATACATAAAATTCCAGATGCTTTATGGCAAATCCCAGATGATAAATTGAAATGAACAAGTTATACCTTCAAAGAAGTTCAAATTCTGGTATAATTTAGATTTTTTCTTTGTACTTTTTTATTGATAATCAGTTTTAGAGCGCCTAAAATTTTATAAGTTTACACCCTATTATAAAATCATGTGTCCGTCCGCCGAAGCAAAATGACATACCTCGCATGAAATTAGTAGTAGCTGATGTTCTTGATGGTTGCAATAAAGGAAAACCCGAAATGCCTGGAAAAGAAATAGGCTGATTTGGGTGTACATGTACATGCAGAAGAGAAGGCATCTCCACAGTATTTCTTTTTCCTGAGGGAAAAAAAAGATAAAAAGTTATTTCCTTTGAACACAAAATGCTTCATTCTAGCCACAAAGCTTGAACTACCATCTCTTTTTCTTCCACTTGCAGATTCTAACAAAATAATTTCTAATCAATTGATGAAATTTCAACAACTAACAAAACAATCTCAAAGTTCCAAAAATGGTGGTAACTGTTTCCAAAAGCGATTTTCTATAATCTACAAGATATTTAGAAAATTAACAAGCTTCTGGACTGGAGGACTACCATTTTACTTAAATGCCGTAAAAGATTATAGTAAATGTCTACCAAATAATGGCCTAACTAAATGAAAAGAAAATATAAAAAAAATTGTTACTTAAAAGCCTCAAAACTGATTTTTAAAAGCCTCAAAACTGATTTCAATGATGAATATACTTATTTCTATATACATATATAATCTGTTAGAGATGGGAAAATTGTTGATTATCTGTTTGTATATCAAGAAAAGAAAGGAAAAAGAGAGGAAACATGGAAGAAAGAAAAATACCCAGAAGCAGGTAAGCCTTGAGGGAAAGCTGGCAACTTTGAGCAGCAGCTATGGTTTCAGTATGAAGCAGAAGAGGAGATTGTGTGGCAGAATTAAGTTTCAGTTGCGTTTAGTTTCTATAATAGATAGAGTGGTGTGGGCTTTTTGATATTATTGACAAAACCATGTGGTAAGATGGTCACAAAGGTTAAAGTAGTGAGGGTATAAAAGACAAGACGTGACACAGTATTGATTTTTATTAGCTGAAGACGACAATAGACGTGAATTTTTATTATATTCAAATACAATATTTATAAAATTCAACAGTTTATTTTATTTTATCAAATATCTTTGATAACTTTCGTATTTATATCATATTTTCATGATATTTTATTTAGATTATTATATAATTATATAATTTTCACACCTTACTTTTACTGAATCATATATTATATATTTTTAGATAAATTACACAAATGATTCATTGACTATAAGATGATGTTTTATTAGGTCTTTTAACTATTAAATTTTTTAAAATAATATTCTTACTATAAGGTGTTATTTTGATGAATCACACGATTACTAAAAGTTTTAAAATGATCGTCTAATTATTTATACATTTTAAACCCGTCTTTTTCTATTAATAAATCGATAGTTGTCGAAACGATTTTTAAGCGGCGGGAGGGGGCGAGATTTTGAAAACCACATCATCTTTAATTATTCTCTTTTCAATTAAATTTTAATTAAAAACAATGCAATTTTAGAAAACCTCTCGTTTCGAAAATTTGGAATTCATTTTACGATAAAAACATATGGTTCGAAGAGTCGCCACCAATCTTTGATTAGGGTGTGATTGGGCACCCAAAAACGTTGTCATTTTAAATAAAAATTAATTTTAATTAAAACGACAAATTTACGGTCTACGTTACCAAAATCCGAGTTCGGGAGTCGGTTACGTGTGGGGAAGGATTAGCACCCCCACAACGCCCTAAATCGGTACCTAGTCGATTAATTAATGTCTTTGCAACGAATTTCACAAGTTCGAGTTTAATTTGATTAATGATCCCTTAAAACCATAATAAATGCAAATTTTATAACATTCAAAAAGCAACAAAATAGGTCAAATTAAAATTACCAAACCATTAGAAAGATAAAGGATATTCGATTATTTAAAAATATCGAGACCAGATCTTTAGGTGAGTTCTAACGATCTTTTTTCAACTAATTTAAATAGTCGAATATTTCTTTTTCTTTCATTCCCAAATTTTAAAGTGATAGATCCAAATTTAATTAGGCGTTACTAACGGGATACAATTTTAATTTAAAATTGCCAAAATATCTCTCTAGTAAGTTAGGAGAAGCCATTCCGACAGTTTTAAATTAAAAGGGTATTACCCTTAATCCGATTATGTAACGACGTCGGTCATGCACATGAGGGTAACATACAAATTATGCAAAAAGGGTGTCATATAAAAATTAATTAAACATGCGATTAAAATAAATGAGTAAATAAATCTAAAGCTAAAATCCCTATTAAACAAATATCACAAAAATAACCCTATCAATGCATTACATATTCTAAGATCAAAGTAAAACCGAGACCACCTATAAAACTAAAATGAAAATCGGGAAAATGCTATGCCAAATATGCAACATCACTAAAATAACATACCCACATGACTAAAATGTAACATGCGAAAACCTTAAAGTCTAAAATCTAAACACCAGAAATGAAACAAATCAACATTTAGGACATAAATTAAATTAACATATAATTAATAGACAGAATTAGAAACATGCAAACTTCGACCTAGGGACTGGAACCAAACATGTGAAAATTGAAAGTAAACTGTCAAAAAATTAGAAATTAAATATATCACAACAGGACTGAAATTAAATGTGTGTAAACCAGGAAGACAAAATTAAAAACAAATCAATGCCAAATTAAGGACTGAAATACAAGAAACTGGAAAATCAAATGGCTCCTAAGCTGAATACCCCACGTGCGAAATAGGAAACCCTAAACACCCACTAAACGACACCATTTTGAGGAATCAATACATATCAAATATTGGGTAAAATGAACCCTAATTTTCATTTGTACCATCTTCAGCCGCAATCTCTCTTCTATCTCCCTTCCTCATCCCATGAACGCCGCCGAGAGACCCAAACTCCACGGCTCCAACCGTCGCGCCGCGATGACTCAACCACGAAACTCACCCCAGACCACTTCGTGACCCATCTAAACTGACTGGTTAATCCCAAAATGAGCCTAAGCTTTCCTGAACCCCAAACTTCTCTAAAACCCAAAACAGTCGAAAGCCTCGACTCCTCTCCGCGACCAACGCTACCGAGCGTTCTCTCCAACGAAGACTCAATTAACAGGTATTCATTACTCCCTCGCCTCAATCTATTTAGTTTATTTTGAAACAAGTCACACACACACCACACACATGGAATCGAAACGAATAAAGATAATAGCATTTACCTCGTGAACTTACCAATGCCTTTTGTTTGTTCAAGATGTACCCAGAGAAATACCTTAAATACGAAAGTGGGTTTTATTGCTTGCTTTGCTTGTGTTGTCGGGTTGTTGCTGATGATAGTTTTGAATGGCATTTCACTAGTTTTTTAGAGCTCTTCATTTTTTAGAATGATTGTAAAAAAAACGAAAAAAAACTTATGAAGAAATCGGGAAAATAAACTTTAAAAATGATTTCTAGCCTTTCATTCCTCTGTAAAATCATGGAAGGATCCCCTGTTCACATTGCTTTCGAATACGGGGGAATCCTTCTCCAGTTACACTGCTTTCCGTTCAAGAACCCCCTTGTTGTTACCGAAAAATCCCCTCCTCTGTTGGTTTTTTTGGTTCCGTGCTCTGCTGTTCGTGAGCTCTCTATTGGTATCCTTCTTTCCCTGCTCTAATGTTCTTTGCTTGTTCTCCAATTGATCACTGACTCCTTCTGCTCGAAATGGTTACCCCTCTTATCTTTGTTTTTCTCCTCCTTTCCTCTTGTAATGAATGCCCCCCGCCTTTCTTTCAAGCTCCCTTCTTTTTGTTGATGATGAAAACCGCTCTTCCCGATGGCCTCGAGAACTGCTTTTGTTTTCTGCTTCCTCTTTAATTATGTGTATCCCTGCTAATGGAGTAATGGGCGTTGCAGGGTATGGGCATGAGCTGTTGGTGGTGTTTGCTCGGGGTGCCGAGCCTTGTCTGCCGCGCTTCACGTGGGTGGATGGTAAGCCCGGGTTGGAAATGGTGAAGGCACGGGCACGGGTTGGAAATGGTGAGCTCATGGTGGTTTCTGCTGAGGGTTGTTACTGGCCTCACGTGATGTTTCAACCGGGTGTTCCAGGTTGTAAGTGGAGTGATCGGTACAAACTGATGCAGTGGCAGTGCTGCTTCATATTGACGTGGGCGCTCGGTTATGCGTTTCACGTGGGAGACACTTAGGCGTTGTGGAGCATGGGCAGCCAGGCCATGTCTCAGTCTTCACGGGCGTGGTGCTTGGCAGTAGCATGGGCTTCCTTGGGAGGCATGATCTGCTGCAGTGGATGAGTGCTTCACATTGGGTGCACGTGGGAGGAGTCTGCTGTTGGGTGTCTCCTTCACGTGGGCAGCAATAGCACCGTGTTAGAGCTGGAAATGGTGCCAAATGGGTCGAGTCTGGTGTAATGGGTTTTCATTTTGAGACTGCTGTTGGACTTGAATCTCGAACTTTCATTTAATTTGGCTTGTAATTGGACTTCAAAGACATAAATGGTCTTTAGACACTTAAATTTGTATTTGGGATTAAATTTCAAATTGTGCCTTAATTTCCAAAACGAACCTATACGACTTAGTCCAATTAAACACCTCAAGCTTTCAAACGTAAACTTCCGTGATTTATCTTTTGAAATAATTCATCATCAAGCACAAACATCTTCAACTTAATTCTCGATCGTCTTCAAATGAATTTAAATGGCCCGGACAAAATTAGGGTATTACAGCTGCCCCTCTTTGCTTGTTGTTGTGAACACAAGAACGTGGCAAAGACAAAAAATAACCTAATTTTGTCTGACCGCACCGTCTATTTCCCTTCTTTAGTCTTATTCTTGACTTTCGCCTCTATCTCACGTGCACAAACCCGAGAATATTCGACTTTTTTTTTTATCCGATGGTTTGCTCCAACATTCTTCTAAGAAAGCTTAAAATGGCTCGGACGACTCATATTGTACTTGGGTGTTTTTGTCCAATTCCATCTTCTTACTTCAAAATTTGATGAGGGATATGCTTCACTCCTCCCCCGGGGTGAGACTTGAAAAATCCTTGGAAAACATGTTCACTCCCTATTCCTTCATGGAGTGGAAACTCGTACAATCTTTTGCCTACGGGTTCGCTCCCTCTTTCTTCAGGGAGTATAGAACTCGAAAATCTTTTGAAAACGTGTCTGCTCCTTATTCCTTCAGAGAGTATGAGACTCGAACAATCTTCAACAATCGGGTCTACTCCCTATTTCTCCAGAGAGTATAAGACTCACAATCTTCATCAATCGCGTCTGCCCCCTATTTCTTCAGAGAGTATAAGACTCGAACAATCTTCAACTATCGTGTCTCCCCCCTATATCTTCAGAGAGTATAAGACCCATAATCTTCAACGATCGTGTCTGCTCCCTATTTCTTCAGAGAGTATAAGACCCACAATCTTCAACAAATGGGTTCGCTCCCTATTTCTCTAGGGAGTATGGAACTCAGACATATTCTTCAAACGGGTTCGCTCCCCCTTTCTCTAGGGAGTATAGAACTCGAACATCTCTTCAAACGGGTTCGCTCATTCATTCTTTAAGGAGTATAGAACTCGAACATCTTCAAACGGGTTCGCTCCTTCTTTCTTTAAGGAGTATAGAACTCGAACATCTTCAAATGGGTTCGCTCCCTCTTTCTTTAGGGAGTATAAAACTCGAACATCTCTTCACGGGTTCGCTCCCTCTTTCTCTAGGGAGTATGGAACTCAGACATATTCTTCAAACGGGTTCGCTCCTTCTTTCTTTAGGGAGTATGGAACTCGAACATCTTTAAACGGGTTCGCTCCTTCTTTCTTTAAGGAGTATGGAACTCAAAT